TGTGTGTGTGTGTGTGTGTGTGTGTGTGTGTGTGTGTGTGTGTGTGTGTGTAAATAATATATATATATATATATACACGTACACACATATACAATAGATTTTCAATTTCAATTACTGATATTGCAATATCGACGGGCTCTCGCTCACCCATACTCTTCACCGCATTCTCCCTGGATTTACGTTGGATATTTTCCGCGTGTAATTAATTCGACCTAGTTTAACATCACGTCGCTCACGCTTACCTGGAGATTGGGTGGGCAATGGTCGAGAAGCTCCAGCATGTGCCTAATGTTCTGCGCGTCCTGTATCACGAAATTCAGCTCCATGTCGAATTCACCGCCTACGAGCTGCACATAGAAAAAAAAGAGAACGTGCATTGAAAACGTTGAAAATCAATATAACCATAGTTATGATTTGTTAGGCAGTGTTTTAGTAACAATACTGACAAGTAAAGTTTATTTTAACAATATGTTCATTACTAGTTTCTCTGTGTGTCCAAATGTATGAGATAGTCATAAATAATAACTCTGGACGCGAATGGGATCGGAACTTCCCGAGGGAGGTGTATGTCAGTATTTAATCGCGGAAATGTTGCTAACTGAAAGCCTCGTCGTTCGATACCCGGACGTACGTCAAACGAATGGTTACGTAATGCTATTCCGTAATATCAAAATCCGGCTAGTCACGCGCAGGGTAAAACGCATAATACCATTTTGACAAGCAATCGTTGATTACCCTGTGTTTCACTGTTATTAATATTAATTGGTAGGTTACATATTTTTCCCGAACACAGCATCGCTTTTGTGTATACAATTTCTTGGTTCATTAAATATTTCATGTTCAACATTGAAAAACAATATCCGATTTATGCGATATGTATAAAATAAATAAATATTTAATATTTTATAATATATGAGCGAGTGAAAATTTGCATTGAATTATATAATATGCATATTGCATACTTTTAAGAGCATTACGGTATCATTTGTTATTGTGCCTAAAAAAAAACAATGAATAAAACTATTTTTATTTACCCAAAAGTTTATGTAATGTACATGCATGGAATTTGGAACAGTGATTCGGCGAAACTTTACGTATATTTGTACCGGCCGTAGTACCGATGTATTTTTAAGGATACCTAAAACGTTGCAGACAAAACATTTCGGACACGGAAAACTTACGGGCTATGTCCGTTCGCGGTTGTTCTTCTTACTGAGACGACTTATATATAATTTAACCGGAAATGCTGCCTCTGCGGAGAGAGCGTAATTTCCGGAGAAGTATCTCGCGCTCACCCCCCCCCCCCGCTTTCTCTTCCATCCTCTCTCCACCCCCGCTTCGCTTTCTACCAAACGTCCGTATTGGTATCGATCATAAATTCCTTGGGCTCATACGGCCATATCTGTGTCTACGGCAGGGTCATGACTAATCTTTATGAGCGTCGATCGCTCGTAAAAATTCATGACTTACGCAGGACCATTTATAAAGCCGGCAATTGAAAATAGAGCTTATCCCGGTTCAACAGTTTCGATCAAATGGCACACCAGATCTTAACTTTACTCCCCGCTTCCCCGTGGTTTTATTGTAAGCTGGGGGATTGGCTAGCACCGCTAGGAGCATCGGTTTTGTTCTACATTCCGAAAGAATAGTCTTGAAACTATTCTTCTGCGAAACATGTGAGAGGCGAAGGCGCACTTTCCGCGAAAAGGAATGTTACTCTTTTACCCAAACTCGTAACTAGTATCGCATTTGTGGCGCCGGTAAAGCGTAAACCAATGTTGGGAAAATAGAATTGTTACACAGGCGCAGTGTTCGATAATATATTCGAGCTTTCTTACTTTTGCCCGGCGCTTTTACCACGATTTACCATAGCGTTCCGGAAAGCTGACGTTGCGCGTAATAAAATGACAACATTTGCCACTCAATTTGGTAATTCTCCAAATTGAAGTAACTTTAGCAAATATTTCCTAGCGTTCGAGTCGACTCTACAAATCATTCCTGTGAGATGGTTATTTAACGACGACTGATATAACGACAGAATTAACATAATATTTGCAAATGATCATCGAAATCAGCGAAATGATTATTATATCTGATTGCTATAAAATTAAATTAAAATTTTATTATAATAAGACAAATATTAAATATTTATTGAATCATGTCTAATAAATCATTAATAAAGAAGTAAATCATTTTTCGACATAATACAATATTTTGTTTGAAATTGATTATCAATGAAAAAATTCTTTCTACGATTCTCCGTTTTGCCGTCTGTTTCTCCGTTGTTTACACGAACAGTTAAAATAGAACACTATATAACGGGAAAACAAGATGTTTAAAGTACAGCTGCTTGGCATACTCTCAACTATTTACAATGCAATTACATTCTTGCATATGAAATGCACTGCGAACATGAGAATAATGTCCGGAATTTAATTTAATTCTTTTCCGTGTTATGTCTGCCACGAGCTGGCTGTTCCATCACCAAAAATTAAAACCGATTAAAATGAAGCATTTAATTATGCATTTCTATAGGTGTAAAATGTCTCATGATTACATGATTAAATTGCATAATCAAAAATATCTTTTGTTAAAATGTAAAATATTTCTCATAAAATAATAAAAATTGATCAGAGATCAGAGATATGCAATCAATTCAGAAATATTTTGCGCCTGTCATTGTATGGGAAAGCTGAGATAGGGAGAGAGATGTAATGTGTAGATCAAAGTTTACGTTATCACGTAGCGGCCATTCTCGGAAATTGTTCATCCCTCGAGAAAAATAAGTCTTCGCGTAATAGAGAGTGGGAGAGAGATGGAGCCTATTATTGCCGATAGAGAGGGTCCAATGTCGCCAAAGCAATTTTTCGAATGATCCATATCACTTGCGCGAATCTTAACGGTCCACATAGTGCCGAGAATCGAAAGGATAATCGAGAAACATTTAAAAAATATTTCGATTCGCAGTTCTCTGTCGTCATATTATGGCATTAAGTCATTCTTTAAAGAGAAATAATTTTATTTATGTCCCTTTGCATTTCACCTCTCGAATTTAGTAATTAAACAATACAAAAATATTTAAGTATAAAATACATAATCCGACACTAGTATATTTATTCTTTTATTATTTCAAGTCTTGTATGTGAATTGCTCGTATTCTTCTTCGCATTTAACCATTCCATTTTCGACTCTATATTCCTATTTTGCAATGCATAAACGATCATGCGAAATACGTAACACAGTCGCATGCAAATTCAAATGATGCTACAGATATGTGCAGCCGAGAGGACGGACGGACAAGCGAAAAGGGAGTCTGAACCGGTGAATTAAGGTCGAGCTGGTAGACCTAATCGCAAATTAATAGATACCATTCGCTTTTACACCTGCATATGCCTTTGACAAAAACAGTTACGCAAAGTACAGCGCACGTCTAACTTGCATATTCGACTCATTATTATAGGGCACGCGGAGTTGCGAACTTGCAAAGTTGTGGGTATATATTAAAACCGTTTTAAATTGATAATTAATATTATATGATAAGTTCCTTTAATGCTATGAAAACATTTTGCTATGAAAAAATTCTAAAGTCTATTTGAAATAAAATTTCCAATATATGTAATGGTCACAAAATAATGATGGTGACAATAATTGCGTTATGCTGTATAATTCAGTACTTTGCTATCGACACATGATAATTCAACTCGCAGTTTTTTTTTTTATAGATCGTTAAGCAAAATTTATTAATATTTATGCTTCGTGTTACGATGCGATAGTCATTATTGTAAAGTATGAACGTAAATAAATTTTGCTGAAAAATCGATTTGCCAGTTGTAAACTTCTTACTCACGGAGGTACAAGGTACGATGCGAACGCGTTCGTGCTGTTTGTGTGAAAAGTCTTTATCGAGTTACTGCAAAGACAAATCCTGTTTGTGAAATTTTAGATGCCCTCCATTTCCTCTGAAAATGTGTTTCTCTTGATTCTATATATTTGTACGCTTTTGACTTTAATTTGCTATTAAAAATGAGAGAGAATTCTTGATGCAAATTAAATAATATAATTTCTTTTTTTAAAAGGTAGTAAAATATTATGAAAACACATAAACTTTTTAGAGAATACGAAAAAAATTATATAAAAACACTGCGAAAGATTTGATAATTTAATGTACTGATATACTGAATGTTTATGTAAGTATAAAAGAAACCCGCGTTTTTGCGGAAATACGTATCGTAGTGATGCGACGCGTAGTCGCACGTATATCATCTTGCGGAAGACCCGTGGATCAAGGGCGTTATATCATTTCTGTCAGAGTAGGCAAGCATAGTCTAGCGGATCGACGAGCACGCATCTACTTCGGGATGTCATTAATCTACATCGAGATCTGCATTTCAATCGCCGGATGATATGGTCAACTGTTCTATGCGCCCCCGTGAGACTTCCGCGAGATCTCCATCGGCTCTATTTACATATCGGTACAAGGGCTTACGGCTCGCGCGTTCTGTCGCGCGAAATGTCGACTCTGTGACAAGTCGCCGTTGGGGAACATAACTCTGACAATATGAGTGCTGCATTTGAATTTGTAATACTGCACGCGACGACGCACGTGTGAGTTACATGTCGCGCATACATGTCGAAGTAATCTCAGTCACGTTAACTGCGATGTAACTGCGTAAAACACAGCGGTTTATCTATCGTTTAATCTCGCAAAACAATTACGTTTTAGTATCCCAAATGTTTTCTCTCGATTTTTTTTCATTTTTTTATTTAGTGTTAAAATAATAATAATAATTGCTTTTTTTTTACTAACATAAGATTTCTTTCGATTTACCACTCTTGATACTACAACGTTTCGCTCTCGGTCAATATTACTACAAATCACTGTCTTTATTTAAGTGAGCTTCACAATTGGTTATTGCATCAGAGTGAAAAATCGAGAATTAAAGTTGCGTTACGAGACGTATGTTTGACGTGTGCATATCGAGTTTTCGAGTTGCCGTGTAGTGGAAACTGTCGGTGATGTTGTTTTCTTTGGTTCACGGCTACTCGATCCAACATGGGAAATTCTCTGTGCGCCAGGGATTATTTCAGTAGGGCATTTGCAAACTGTATCCCAGGGAATTTCAGGCCACGTGTCTATTGCCGTTTCACCCTATCTTGCGACTTTACGACTTTTGGCGACATTTGCTCGTAACGTGGGGACGCAGATTTGAGTAATTCTCTCCCTCTGTTGTGGAATCGGAAATTTCATTGCTCTTTCCTAAACATTTCGTCGCGTTATACCATCGCTTTTTCCATTTCAAGAAATAACCATTTAATCTCGTTTAATTTAGATAGTAATCAAGAATTA